CCGCTCTTCAAACAAATGAAGTACGAGGCAGGTATGAGGTATATCGACAGTGCGGTGAAATATGATCCGGCCAGATGGATGCCCTACCGCGCTTTTATAAAGTGTATTTTCCAAAAAAATTACACAGATGCGCTTGCTGATTTCCAGAAGGCGACTGTCTTAAATGGCGCCAGTGGCATCATGGATCATGCCTATGATTTCTATATGGGCCTGTGTTATTTACAGCTCAATAATTATGATGCGGCATTGACAAAGCTGGACAAGTGTATTAATGACCGGGAGAAAAAAGGCAATACCGGGCATTATGTACATTATTTCTACAAGGGCATCGTGCTTTATGAAATGGGAGATTATAAAGGTGCAATAACCCATTTTGACAAGGCGCTCGTTTCATATCCTACCTTTTCAGATGCGGCGTATTACAAAGCGCTGTGCCTGGCCAATAACGGTCAAATATCCGAAGCGCATCAGCTCATGCTGAAAGCCCAACAGGATTTTAATACGGGTTATACCATCAATGAAGACAATGCCATTTATGAGCGCTATCCTTATCAGCTAACGAAGAGCTTATTAAAATCCAGTTTAGCCAGGTTTGACAACCAGTCACCGGACTAATACAAAAAGAAACGCTTAAGGACCAACGTTGCACTAAGGGTTACCGGCATACTCCAGCACTTTCGACTCGAAGCGGCGAAATCTATTTTTAAGATCCTGGTTCAATGCGCTCTTCCGGGTTTCTTCCTCGATAAAGGAATACCTGATACTATTAAACACCATCTTTTTGATATCCCGGTAAGTAAGTTTTTTGTACCTCGTAGCCAGCAATACATACTGATGGATCAGGTTCGATCTTAACACGCCTGCGTCATCGGTACAGATCACAATAGGCACCTTAAACTGCTTGTATAACATCAATGGATGATGATCTTCTTTTACCTTGAGAATAAACTCGTTGCTGAAAAGGTTAATCTCCACAGCTACGTCATTTGCACTCATATATTCCAGCAGGCTGTAAGCATCGGTTTCATACGGAAGGTCTACCCCATGACCAATACGGTCGGCCCCGGCATCCCTGACGGCTGCATTAATATGCCAGGTAAGCTCTTCCGGTTTTACCATGCCCAAAGCCAGTTCCCCGGCATGCATGGCGTATTTTACATCCGGGTATTTGGTACCGAAAAAACGAAACAGCTGCATGTGCAGCCAGTAATATTTCATCGAGATCTCATTGTCTTCCGGCGCTACAATATTAACCCCGACGATCAGCTTGCTTTGGTTTGCAGATTCGAAAGCGACTAATAGATTTTTAAACAGCTCAACCGGATTACTGGTCACCCGCACCACGTAATTCTGATACCTTAAGGTGAAGGAAGAATCATCCAGGCGCAAGCGGTTATGCCGTTCAGCCAGCTCCTTATTAAAACTCACAACACTGCTTTTTAGAATGGCATCATCAGATAAGGCAAGGAATAGCTTTTCAAAAACAGGTACCAACTCTTTCGCATTTCTGGCAGGATAATATTGTTCTATCTGGCGTCGCTGCTCTTCAAACGGATCCAGTTTCACATTAGCCTTTATAGATGTAAACATGGTTTCGATATAGGAAACATTTTCCAGCTTCGCCCTGTTCTTAATCTCCGTCAGTCCTTCATCAAAGGTATTGCTGCTGGCAATATTGAAGTTAGGGAACGTCTCAAAAAACAGCTTGTCAGATGGATAGCTGACGCCGTTATAATCTTTCACCGACCATTTCTGGAGGATGTTTTGCTTGGCGGTTGCCAACCCCGATCTGCCAAGTGTAGTAAAACGCACAAAACCAGTATCGCCTGTTACCGGGCGCTCTTTTACCTCCAGTGTCTGAAGATTAATAAAGTAGTCGTTGG